CATGGGGATCCTGGTGGCCTTTGGGGGTTGTGACGAAGGGGTGACAGGGGATTGTGAGCGTTTATCATTGCAGGGTTGGGATGGCAGGAGCGGGGGCTGGGAACTGGATGGCTGAAGTTGGGGTTAGGGGTCAGGGTTAGGACTCACGTTTCGTCCATCCTCTCCAGGATCTCCTTGGTCTCCTTTCTCACCCACAGGTCCCCGAGCTCCAGGTGCCCCCTGAGAAGAGCAGCTGGTCTGAGACAGGCCCTCGTGGCATTCTGCAGTTTTCCCATGACCCCCCATACTGTTCAGGTTCCCCATCACCCCCAAAACCATGCCTGAATTTCCCATCACAATATGCACCCCCTTACTTCTCCCTGCCAGCCTCACCCGAAGGCCACGTTCGCCAGCTTTTCCAGGCAAACCTGGGTCACCCTGGTGATGGAGAGAAAGCCACACTGAGCAGGTGGCTTGGGCTCAAACTGACTCAAGGAGCAGGGGCAGAGAAGGGTCTGGGCGCCAGATAGACAGTAGGCAAGGGAATGGATTTGATGACCTGGGGGAGCCCCCAGTCCAGTGGGATCACAATGCAAGGGTACCGGGTCAGAAATCAGAGTGGGAAGGAGTCTTACCGGGGGACCTTCATCACCTTTCTCTCCAACTTCACCCTGAGAGACATGAGAATCAGTCCTGGTCCCAAGATCCCCCGCGATGACAGCAACATTCCACTCTCCTACCCCCCAAGACTCCCCCAACTCCAGCTTTCTTACATCTCGTCCTCGGGGGCCGACGAGTCCTGGGGGGCCAGGCCGCCCAGGGTCTCCCTTCTCTCCAGGAGGTCCTGAGTCACCCTGTGGAGGAGCCAAAGTGGGGTGATGCAGGATGCACATAGCAGCCAGTCCCTGAGGGGTGGTAACCCCAGAAACCTTGAGGTTACCCAAGGCCATAGGTACTCACCGGGGGTCCTGCTCTGCCTGTCAGGCCAATGGGACCCTGCAGGGTGTAGGGGGGAGTACAGGACTTAGTTGGGGCTCCCGGGTACTACCTCATCTCCTGCCACACTCCCCAGCCCCACATTTATTCACCCGGTCTCCAGGGTCTCCTTTGGGGCCAGGGTCTCCTTGAAGAACCAAGCCAGGTGGGCCCTGTGGCAAAAGGATCAGAAGTCAGGGAGCACAACCCTCACCTGCCCTACCCCCTTAGACACTGTCCCTTCACTCACCCGCTCCCCTTTGACTCCTGTAGCTCCTCTAGGCCCCGTGGGCCCCACATCTCCCTGGAAGTAACAAAGACCATCAACCATCAGCATCAGCCCCAGGTTCCATGACCCCACAATCCAGCAATCATGCCACAACCCTATGACCTCCAGGGGCCTCCAGGCAAGCCTAAAGGCAGACCCCATGACCTTGACCTCAACCCTGGATCAGCCTCCATTTCACTCTCGCCAGAATTACCTTCTCTCCTTTGGCCCCAGCACCATCAGGTCCCTGAAAACAAACAGGACAGACACACTTGGCCCTGCCTGGGGATCACAGTACTACGTGATTGACTGGGGATGAGGTAATATGGAACTAGAAGTCATAGATAGAGCTCAGTCTCTGTCCAGAGGTCACAGAGTCACCGCTGGGAGCAGGGCAGGGGTTACACAGAGTTCATGACCTGTATGATGGTCACAGGGTCACAGGTTACAGCCAAGAGTCGGGAGATGCATTGTGGCATCAGGAGAGTCACAGAACTCTTAGCCTTCCCATGGTCCCAAGGTTATGGGGTTTCAGCCTAGAATACTGGTCTACAGGCAGGCCAGTGCTCAGGGAGCCACGCTGTGCTCAGAGCCCCATCCTCCCTTTGCTCACCACTGCAGGGTCCCCAGGGCGACCAGGCTCCCCCTGTGGAAAAAGGATGGGGGCAGGGATGAGTCAGAGACCCATCTAGGAACTCCAGGTCCTGGTGTCCCACCTGTCACAATCCCAAGTGCAGGGGGTGGGAGGGACTGACGCCCAGGCAATGACTCACCTTCTCTCCTCTGCGGCCGGTGGGTCCTGGCGGCCCCTGCATGTGGAAAAGGTGTGAAGCCAGAGCAGGAGGAACACTTGAAAACCCCTCTCCCCGTCCTACCATAGTCACAGACTCACTTCGGGCCCCTCAGCTCCCGGACGTCCAGCCACTCCAGGCAGCCCCTGGGAAAGAAGAGCAGAAATGCTGATCCCGGGGGATGGGCAGGGAGATAGTAGCAAGCAAGGGCTAGAAATTGTGGGGATGCTGAAGAGAGGGCACAAAAGGTCAGGATTTAGGCAGCAGGGGTCAAACTGAGGGGTGACAGAGTCCAGGTCAGTGGAAGTCAAGGTCAGTTCAGCAGGGTCAGGAAGTAAAAAGCAGGTCCTGGGGGTTAAGGGCTGGAGCCTGCCTCAGCAAGAGTCATGTGAGGAGAGGTGGAGGGCCAGGGGCAGGGGGCATCAAGGTTGAGAAGTCAGAACCAGGAAGGGGCACAGAGCGCAGGTCAGCTGGACACTGGCATCAGGTCAGAGGGCTCACCTGTGGTCCCACTGGGCCGGGGGGTCCACGTTCACCCTGAGGGAACAGAATGGGTCAGAGCCGAGTCTGGCCACAGACCCTCTGGGGCCCTGAGAAAGCCCTAGGCTGCACTTACCTTCTCGCCAATCTCACCCACAGCCCCTTTCAGTCCTCGGTCACCCTAAGGGGAGAGAGATAGGAGAGGCGCCTTGACTGTCAAACCCTAGAGAAGGCGTCTCAAACTCTAGCTATCCTGCCTCCGAAACTACAACCTCTGACGTGCTGAGAGCCCTCATCTCCTGATCCTCCCCCAGCCCCCAGCCCTAGAATTGTCCCAGTGGTCACACCCCACACCTGACCTCCCAAAATAGCACTTACTTTGGGGCCAATGTCCCCAGGAGGTCCTCGTGGGCCCTAGAAGGGGTTTGGATACTTGAGTTTGGGCATAAGCATAGGATAGAGGGTGGGAAGCTGAGGGAGCTGTGCCCACCCCTCAGAACCCTTGCCCCTACACTCACCCGCTCACCCGGGCTCCCAGGTTGTCCTGGGAGGCCTGGGGCTCCATCCTCACAGTCACCCTGAAGGAGAAACAGATGAGTAGAAGACCCTACCTCCCTCAGCCTCCGCCCTAGAATGGGCACACCAAGAGGTCAGGCCTCCCACCTTTTCTCCTTTCTCTCCAGAGGGGCCAACTGGGCCTTGGGGTCCAGGGCCTCCAGGAAGACCCTAGGAGAAAGTGAGTGAAAACGTGAGCCCCAAACTATGAGGCCCAGCACCCACCCACTGCCCCAGAAGAGCCTCAGCCTCAGTATCCACACCCCTGAGATGGCCCCCAAGTTCCCCAGCAGAGCCTCAAGGCTCCCTCACCGGCAGCCCAGGCTCCCCTGGGACAGTGCCACCATCACCTGGTCCTGGGGGGCCCTGAGAGAGAACAGTAGGTCAGGAGCCAGCCAATGGGAATCAGACTCCAAGCCACCCCCAGGACACCTTGCCCCTCACTTACCCGCTCCCCACGATCACCTTTGTCACCCTGGAAAAGACAGATCATGACTCCATGACCCTGGACCACACTTCCACTCCCAAATATACCAGGAGAAATGAAGGTCATGGGGACAAATTGGATTACAAAGGTCACGGAGGAACTGAGGAGTCATGGGGGGGCTAAGGGGTCATATGGGGTCAGAGCAACCAGTAGGGGTTATATGGGTTCAAATGGGGTCACCAGGTCACTGGATCACATTGAGGTCATGAGACCATAAAGGGATCATGTTGTCACCTTCACAGTCGTTCCAGGAATTCCTGGGGGACCACGGGGTCCTGGGTCCCCCAGTGGGCCACGGGATCCAGGGAGGCCCTAATGGAGGAGACAAAGTATAAAGTACAACCCCACTGACCCTTACTCCTACCCTGCCTCCTGCTGGTTCCCCACCACACACCTCTTGCCCCCACACATCGTAGAACTTACTGGAGGTCCACGGTCCCCTTTCTGCCCAGGAAGCCCTGGGCCTTCGCCTCCAATGACTCGCCCGGGATCTCCCTGCAGGACAGAAAGCAAAGGGCAGGATTCAGGGCATGGGAGCCTTGAGGCGGGAGAAGTTCCCAGAGGTACCCAGGTATTCCTTATCATGCCACAGGCCCCGCATAGCATCCAGCCTGCTCCTCCCTGGGATATCCTGGCTCCCTCCCTTCCCCCTTCACCTACCGGCTCCCCCTTTGGGCCTCGAGGTCCTCGCTCTCCCTGAGGACAAAATAGAGCAAAGGGTGATGCTTGGGCTCAAGCGCATCCACACTGCCCACCCCCAACGGGTCCCCACCCTCCAGAAAGAACTTTGGGAAGACACTGGGTGAGCAAAGAAGGGAAAGCAACTCACTGGATCTCCACGAGGGCCAGGCCACCCTGGGGAGCCCTGTAAATGGAAGGAGTCAGGGCAGTCAGACCACCTACTCACCCACTCAAGCAAAGAGTCCTACCAAGTGACCTGCAAGGGCAAGGCTTGCTTACCTTGGAGCCAGGGGTTCCAGGAGTCCCAGGGCGGCCAGGGCTGCCTGGAGGCCCATCTGTCCCAGGAAAGCCCTAAGGAGTCAAAGAGGTCAGGGCAGGAAGGGACCCTCCCTCCGTGCCCTTGGTTTGCGGGAGGAGCCGAGACTATTCTTTATCTAGATTCCCACCCCACAGGCCCCTGAGTGTTGCTGGGGTGGAGCAGTGGGGCAGAGAAGCAGCCTTTCTGAGCTAAATGGGGACTCATCCCAGGTACCAGGGCAATGATGAGGTGGAGGGGCCTTCCCTGCCTCTGGGATTTAGAACTTACACCCAGGCTCTCGGGGGGAGTCTCAAAACCCCACTGGCTGTTCTACTGTAGGCCCTGCCCCAGAGTCTCTGGTGTGGTTTAAATGTCCACTTAGACTTCTAACACCCTTGCGGTTCTAGCCCTGCTCTCTATTTCTGTCTTCTAAAAACCCTGAGAACACTTGGAGGAGTGTCTTCGGGGAACCCCAATGATTTCCACTCACCCTCTCACCCTTTGCAGCGGTACTTCCAGGAGGCCCTGGGGGTCCAGGAGCACCAGCCCTGCCCTGAGAGGAGAGAGCAGGTAAGGAAGCAGTACTCTGGTCAGGGGGCAGAGGACAGGCGTGGGGAGGCACTCACCGGGAGGCCGGGGGGGCCAGGAGGCCCGGCTTGTCCTTTCAGGCCCTAGGAAGGGTGATCAGTGAGCCCTGTGCCACCAACCTCCCCCAGCCACACTGACCCCCAACCATTCTCTGCCCCCAACTAGGGTCACTCACCATCTCTCCACGTTCCCCTTTCTGACCCTGGGGAAAGATACATTACATGAGGGTCAGAGTGGCTAGCCCCGGGTGTGGCCCTCGCCCACCCTCTCAACCCTGGACACTTACCTTTGGACAATGCAATGTGCAAGTCTCTGGCTGTGGCTGTGGACATAAGGTCTTTTTGAGGCTAGGCAATTGTCCCAAGAGTCTCCAGCTCCCTCTCCCCCACCAGTCACCCCTCCCCCAGAGGCCCCTTGCAAACCTGAGTGGCCAAGGCTGTCTGACACAGGGATGTTGCCAAACCACTGACTGCCCGGTCCAAGCTTGGACCGTCATCCACAGCAAAGAAAGTCTGGACAGGGTCCATGCCTGGCACCAAGCGACGCAACTGTTCCGGGTCAGCTCCAGCCTGGCCCAGTATCATCACTCTGAGCCCTAAGGAGGGGTCCAGCAGCCTGCATGACAACCCTGCTGGAGCCAGCCCGACTCCCAGGCCCCATCCCCACCAGCCCTCCTCCTCACCAGCAGCCTGGGCCTCACGGATAGGGTTGAAGATGTCACCTCTCAAGGGCTCATCTACTAGCAAAACCATTACCCCTGGTACATGCTGGCGGCGCCCAGGAGCATCTGGTGCTAATAGGTGTCTGTGAGCAGTAACCACAGCTGTGCCTGGGAGAAAGAACATGTCAGAACCCAGGGCACCCAGCTCCCAACAGGTAGGCCCCAAGAGTCCATGTACAATGCAGTCCTTACCCAGGTTGTTCCCACTTGGGTCCATGTAAGGGATGCTGCGGATCTTCTGCAGGATGATGTTAGGATCATAGGAGCTATTCAGTGGGAACAGTGGGGAGGGCCGATGACTGTAGGACAGGAGGCCAACCTGGGGTGGGGGAACACAGAGCCTGGGGAAGATGGCAAAGCAAGGATGGCAGAGTCTATCGGGGCGGGGAGGGGGGGGGCGGGATATAGAGCTCAGGGAATGGGACTAAACCTGAACACTAGGGGGTCAGCAGTGATGGCAGTATAGGCAGCCAACCAGCAGATGAGGAGATCTGGAGCCTGGAAAGGGCTGGGAGACAGATTGGACCAGTGGTGGAGGAGGGAAATGGTAGCTGCTGTGAAGCGTGGGATGGGGAAGGGCTGGGATAGGAAGGGGTCTGTTTGTCTCCGGGGCCAAACCTGGATTGCCTGTGGCCCAAGAGGCCCAAGCGCAGACACCAGACGCTCCAAGGCTCGCTTTACAGCCTCTGCACGATGAGCATTGTCCTGAGTGGTGTGCAGCAGGAACACCACATCCATCTGGCCATGGGGACACACTGCAGGAAAGGGGCTGAGTTACTGAAGCAGCTGGCCCATCTAGCTACCCCCTTACGCCCCTCCCACTGTGCCCACCTTACCTGGGTTCTGTGTGACAGAGGCCTCAGGACCCCGTACACCCTCCCGGATCGGTGTCAAGGAGAAGGTATAGGAGATGCCAGGTTCTAGCCCTGTCACCTGCTGGGAGTTCGAGATCCCTGGAAGTGTCTGTGAGGCCCCAGGGATGTCTGCAAAAGATAAAACCTGTTTAAACAGGAGGTCTTCCACAGAGCCCCAACTGCCAGCCCACCCCAATCCTGGCCTCCCCTTCACCTTGGCCAGGGCGTCTGAGCGGCTGCCAGGACAGAATATAGCTGGATACTCCAGACACTGGGGTCCAGGCCAGAGTCACTGAGTCAATTGAAGTGTCCACCACACGCAGTTCAGTGCTTGGCACCCGGGGTGACTCTGAAGAAGGAATCAAAAACCAGGGATCAGAGTCTATGTCCTGAGAACCCAGAAGAGAGAGATCATCTGAAGAGGTTCTGGGGCAGGATCATCTTAGCAAAGGAAGTGTCAAGGGAGATCATGCTGGGGTCACCCCAGGTACAGGAGTGGTAAGGGGCTACAGGAGGAGTCACTCAGGGCCATGGGGTGCAGGAAACCAGTGCGGGTTATCAGTGGGGGAAACATCACACCAGGGAAGAGTGGACTCTGGGCTCACCAGTGCGTGCAATCACTTCTGTGGGGGGCCCTTCTCCAGCTGACCCCAAAACGCTCAGCCACACTCGGTATGGGGTTGCTGATTCCAGCCCATCCAGTTCATAGCTGCTGATACCGGGCCCCAAGACCCGGGACTGTTCCTGGCCACCTGGGGCAGGCATGGAAGTGGGGACCCAAGGCATGTGGGAAGATGCTACAGACGGGCATTAATGATCTCGCCCACCTCACTGACTGACCCTGCTAACCAGATCCACCCTCCTAACCGATCTTCCTCATTCTCTCTCACCCTGTTCTCTTTACTGACCCCGCATGACTGATCCCAGCGCACAGCACATCCCCCCACTGACACTGACAGACATGGCCCACTCACTGACCTACCTCTCCTACCCCGCCACCAGCCCCGCCCCCATCGGTCCCTGACCCCCTACCGAGGGAAACCTCTCACCCTCGGGTCGCCAACGCAGACGGAAGCCGTGTGCCCCCGGCACCGGCTGCCAGCGCAGACTCAGCGAGTGCTCGCCTCGCTGCACTACGCGAAGGGTCTCCAGGGCTGGCGGAGCCTCAGGCGCTACAGGGAAAGCAAGGTACTCAGGGAGGCTCCGCCCCCCAACTGGCTCCTAAGCCAATCCCAACCGACCCCTTTGCCCATCCCAGGCTTCATCCTTCCTTCCCCCTTTAACCCGCAGAGCACAAACCCCGCCCCCAAACCGTGGAGGCCAATCCCAGACTCGCCCCAGCCCAAGCTCCGCCTACGCGTGGTGACGACAATGGAGACCGGTGCTCCCTCACGGTCCCCCACAAGAGCAGTCACTCGCACCGAGTAGCTGACTCCGCCTTCGAGGCCCCGTATTACGGCGGAGTCCGTGTTTCCTGGGAGCATCTGCTGTCTTGTGGGGCCACCTGGCCAGGCAAGCATGGGGCAACGGTCGGGGTGGGGGTGGTTTACCAGACAGGGCAGTCCCAGCCAGGAAGGACAAGGGCAGGGTCAGGGAACCATACCCTCGCTCCGACCCCAGGCCAGTCTGTAGGCTGTGGCTCCAGTGACCCCGACCCAGGTGACCCGCAGAACATCACTGGAGGCATTGAGGATCTGCAGCTTCGACACACTGCCCACGGGCGCAGGGTCTGAGGGCAAAGGCAGGGGAAGGGGTCAGGGGCCACTGGATGGCTGGCAGAGAACAGGGTGGAGTGCAAACATGGTCAATGCAGGAAGGTCTGAAGGTCAGTGTGAGGTTAGTATGGACCGGTCAGTGTAGGCAACCTCTGAGAGGGATAAGGCCAGTGCCCCAGAGTGGGCAGTGTGGGGCAGCCAGGAGGTCGCTGAGGGTGGACTAAGTGTCAATGTGGAGAACTCACTGAGCAGTGATGGAGTGGTCAACCGGGGCGGCGTAGCCAGTGAGATGTGATTTCGAGCTGGCCAGGGCCCACTCACCTGTCCTGACAACCACAGAGGCGGGTGTCCCATCCACACCGGCCACATGAGGCCACACATGCACCGTGTACTCCGTATCTGGCTCCAGCCCATCCAGCTCAGCCACTGTGGCCTCTCCAGAAACCAACTGGGATTTCTCTGGGCCTGGGAGTGAGGATGGACGCAGCTCCAGGGCTAGCTAGACTCTGCCCCCCAATGCCCCACCTGGACCTTTAATAAAACCCCCCAGCCCCTATTCCACCCAGACCTGCCCCCCATGACCCTCTAAAACTTCTGGTCCCCTCCAAAACCCCTGGTCCCCACCATGGCCTGAGTGCCAGGAGACCCTGTATCCCGTGGCACCAGGAACCCTGTTCCAGGAGATGGTGACAGATGAGCTGCTGGTCTGCGTCACATGAACAGTCCTCACTGGGCCTAGTGGGTCTGTGGGGAGAGGCAATGGGAAGTCCAATGGAGGAGGCAGTGGAGGGTCTGATGGAGGAGGTTTTGGGGAACTATCTAAAAGAAGGCTGTGAGAGTCTAAAAGGAGGCAGGGATCTGATGGAGGGGGTAGTTAATGGGCCAGATGGCAGAAGAACTGGGGATCTGACAGAGGAGATAGTGGGAATCTGAGGTGGCAGGTGATAGGAATCAGAGAGAAGAGGGTCTGACAGAGAAGATAATAGGGTTCTGATGGAGGTCTGAGGAGGCAGGGAGGGGGTCTGACAAAGGGAAAAGTCTAAGCCTAAGAGGACAGCAAGGTGGAGCAGAAAAAGCAGTGGGAGCCTGAGAGATGAGGTGGTGAAAATCTGAGGGCAAAGAGAGTGGGATCTTTGAGGAGAAGCAGAGGAATCTGAAGAAGATGGGGGCTTAAGAGGAGGCAAGGGAGGCCGAAGGAGAAAGCAGGACTCTGAGGGAGAAGGCAGTGGGAATCTGAAGAGGGAGGCTGTTCTGGAGCGAAACAAGGATCTGTGAAGGGGGGCAGGGGGGTCTGAAGGGGCACTGGAGATAGCCAGTCAAGGGGCTGGGTCAGGCCCTGACCAGTGCGAGCCACGATGACCACAGGGGGACCCTCCTCTCTCCCTCGCAGTGCTGACACAGCCACCTGGTAGGAGGTTCCGGGCCGTAGCCCCATGATATCTGTGGCAGTGGATTCTGGGGGCAATGTCTGGCTGGACTCCGGACCTAGGGTCAGAGGGAAGTGTTGGCATGGCTCTTGCCTGCCCCCTCAATCCCCCAAACCCTAGTTGTTCCTCTCCACAGCCCTCCCACACACCCCACACTGACCACTGTCTGTCCTCCAGCTAATCCGAAATCCACTGGCTCCAGGAACAGGTCCCCAGGCCACCCTCACCCGTGTTGCATCTGATGCCACAACTCGTAGCCCTGGGATGGCAAGTGGGGTTTCCGGTTCTGGGGGTTAAAGGCAGAGGTCAGGGGTCAAGACCGGGACCAGAGTGAATCAAGAAGCTGTCCCCCCACAACCCTCCTGTGTGCTCACCCCGGCGGACAGTGAGGGTGCTGGCACCGCCCTCACGGCTGCCCACTCGAGCAGACACCCGCACAGTGTAGCTTAGGCCAGCCCGGACATCATCCAAATCAAAGGCTGTTTGACTCCCAGGAAGCACGAGGGTCCGCTCAACCCCTAAGAGAGAAGGCAGAGTAGGTGGGCAGGGGTCCGTGAGACACAGGGATGTGGGATGATGATGGCGGTCAGTGATGGACAATGACACAGGATAATGCACCAGTGATGAACGGAGATACAGGATGATAGGAGTCAGTGGACAGGGACATGGAATGTAGAATGACAGAAATCAGTGGATAGTGATATGAGTTGACAGGTCATTGATAGACAGTGATGTGGGGTGATGGGGGTCAGTACTGGATGGGGACAGGGGATGAGAGGTCAGTGTGGACAGTGGTTCCAGCTAGAGTAACAGAAGGGCAGGGATTGAGTTTGGGATTGTGGAGAAGGGCCAAAGCTGCAGGCAGGGATGCAGGGCAGGGAGTGGAGACAGATCCGGGTGAGAAGATGGGCTGAGGCAGGGCTGGGAGCAGAAAGACACTGTGACAGGCCTGGGCTCAGTTCCACCTTGGGGGATAGTCGGACAAGGAGACAGGAGCAGGCCGTAGAAACCCAGAGGTGCAATGTGTTGGGGTGAAGGTGTAGTCAGACCGCAAAAGCTGGAACTTTAATGTGTGTCCGGGTGTGGCTGTGTCCACCTCACCCTGTGTGCTGCGCACAGTGATGCGGTACTCGGTGGCACCGGGGACTGGGCTCCAGGATACTCGCACCCGCTGCCCAGGAAGCTCTGTTGCCTTCAAGTCCGTCACAGGGCCCACGGGCAGCTCTGGCCCTGTTGGAGAGCACAGCATTAAAGGCTGCCCCGGGCCCCTGTACCTTCCCCTCTCACTTGGCAAGGCCCACGGAGCCCTCACCGGTGGGGACCACAGTTGCAGGCGTGGCTACCTCGCGGCCCTCCAGCAGAGTATAGAGCGTGAGGCGATACTCAGTGCCTGGTTGCAGCCCATCCAGCTGGTAGCGGGTCACATCAGAGGGCAGTACCACCTTCTGTGGCACCCCCAAGCCTGCAAGACGACAGCGTCAGGCTGGCTGAAGCCGAGCCTGACCCTGCCTGCCCGCCCCTCTCCCCTGCACTGACCACTCTCACGCCGCCATTCTAGCCGGTAGCCGCGGGCCTCAGGCACCAAGTTCCAGGAAAGGAGAATGGATGTGGGCCCCAGGATGACTGGGCGCAGGGTCTGTTCAACGGAAGCATCTGCCCAGGGCACAGGGGATGTCAGTGGCCTCTGTGCCCTGCCCGCCTGCCTACCCAGCGCGAAGAAAGCACCCAGCCTTCTCACCAGTACGGGCAGTCAGGGAGGCAGCAGATCCTACGCTACGGCCGAGCAGGGTGCTCACAGTCACCTCGTAGTCCGTGCCAGGCTCCAGGTCACGCAGCAACACTGACCCCTGCCCAGGGCCCAGCTCCTGCTGCTGTGTGACACCACCTGCACGGGCGGGGGGGGGGGGGGGGCGGGCACCAAGGGATCAGCGCGCCTTGCAGACTTAGGACCCTACAACCCTGTCTGACATGCCAAGATCCCCCTCAGCCCACACTTCTCACTCACCACTGAGGACCCGCCATGTCACACGGTAGCCAGTGGCACCTGGCACACTCCGCCAGGCCACCAGGAGGCTGTGGGCTGTGGTATTCTGGATGGTCAGCTCTGGCCCCTCCAGGGCAGCTGGGGGAAGGTCCAGCAGGGATTAGTGGAGTCAGGAGTGGGAAGGGGTTACTGGGCAATTAGATGAACGGGGTCAGAGGTTAGCAGAATTGCTCACTGGTCCGAGCTGTCCCACTCACAGCCTCCCCGATGCTGTTGGCGTAGAGGGCTACCACGGTCACTTGGTACTCAGTCAGTGGCCGGAGACCCTGCAGCTGTGTGCTGGTCTCACCAGCTGGGATGCTCACCTGCCCAAGGCCAGAGGTCACTTTACCTTGCCCAGCCAAGTCCCCAGCCCTCCACCTACCACTCCTGACATCCTTACCTCCCGCCGCTCGCCTGGCAGTGGCTGTCCCAGCCCTGTCAGAGGAGTGTACTGGACCTTGTAGCCAGTCACAGGTCCACTGGCCGCCGTCCACCGTACTCTCAAGGATTGACTGCCTGCTTCGGACAGCACCAGGTCTCGTGGCCCAGATGTCAAGTCATCAGCTGGGAAGGGTGAGGAGTCAGGCAATCAGGCAGGAGGATCAGGGGTCAGACTTAAAGTGTAGCATTGGGGTCAAGGGTCGGGGGCACATAAGGTCAGATCAGCACCTCAAGGGCAGGATCAGAGGACAGAACCCCCAGCTTGGTGTCAGGAGCACAGGGAATGGAAGCAGCACCCTCAGGTTTGGGGAGGGAGGTCAGAGGTCTAGGTCAGGGCACAAGTGGGGGCAGGAACTCACTGGGCAAGGTCACAGGTACACCACCAGCAGTTGTGCACACTCTCCGGGAAACAAGGGGCAGCAGTGTCCTCAAGATACTGAAGTCGTTGACGAAGAAGAAGAAATCACTGGTCGGCTGTGAGGCAACTCGCTTCAGCTCCTCGGGGTCGGCATTCTTGATGCCTGAGGTGATGCCCAATCAGAGCTCAGCTGTCCACATGCCCTCTGACTGGCCCCTGCCATAGCCCACTTGTCACCCCAGATGGGTACTCACCCACAGCAAACAGCTTGACCCCCTGCCCCTTCAGCCGCTGGGCAGCCGTATCCACCAGGTCCTGCGACTTCCCATCTGTGATGAGGATGCAGACCTGGGGCAGGTGCCGGGGGTAAATCAGTGCTGCCTCAGGCAGCTAACTTGGTGGGGGGAATGGTAGGGTGGGAGATCACCTTGGGGACACCAGGTCGGGCCAGCTGGGGCAGGAAAATGTGGTCAGCCACGTGGAGAATTGCAGCCCCCGTGCGCGTGTTGCCCCCCTTGTAGCTGAGCTCACGGATGGCTCGGATCACCTCGCCCCCTGAGCCTGAGCCAAATGCATCAAGGCCAAACTCCGTCCTGCAACAGGGGAGGGAAGGTGGCAACAGGTGGCAACAGACCTCTGGCCCTGGCCTCTAAGAGGCCTCTGGGTGAGGCCTGTGAATATCAGGCCTCTTTGAGGGTCCTCTTGGTTCTGTGACTCCTGCCCTCCACCTCTGAAGCCATTAAGTTAACAAACTCCTCTGATACCCCTCTGTGCTCTGCTGGTGGCTGGAGCTCTTGGGGCTCGCTGCCTCGGGAAGCAGGATGTCTAGTTAAAATTAAGTAATTGTGGGAGGAAGGGTCTAGTCATAGGGAGGTGGATGTTGGCCAGACAGGGAGGCCCTGTGTGAGGGGAGAGGCAGAGGGCTGGAACATGGAGAGTTCAGTAGGCAGGGGGCATCTGAGGCCCCTGGGCTCTCCATCTCCAGATTAGAAAAGACAGCCTCGTCTTTGGCAGGACAATAGACTGGAGGTGTCTCAGGTGTGAGGACTCTACCTGGGAGATCCCGGCCTCTGTCTCCACAGGATGTCCTGGCCAGGGGCGGGGCGGGGGGGGGGGTGGTGGTGCGGGGAGGGTGTCTCTGGGTTCCGGAAAACCTGGCCTAGGGGTTTCGGGGCTCTCTGCTTCTGGGGGGAAGAGTCTTGGCCAGATCTCTGGGTTCCCAGCTCCAGGGGCTACCACTCACCGTGGATCGTCGCTATACTGCACAGCAGCAAAGCGCACACCTTGTGCACTGGCTGCCCCAGAGAATGGAAGCACCAGTCCCTCCAGGAAACCACGCACTTCACGGAAGTTGCCACGGCCGATAGACGAAGAGCCATCAAGTAGGAACACGATGTCAGCAGCATAAAGGCGAGTGCAGGTCACTGGGGCAGGGAGGAGCCATCATGCTTTTTTCTTGGAGCCCACCCACCCCTCCCTGCGCTATGGTCCCTCCGCACTAGGGGCTGGGGAGGATGGAGTAGGCCTCATCAGCTAAGCCAACCAGCGCAGGCCGCCTTGGGCCTGGGAGACTTGGAGGGTGGCACGGAGGGGCCCAGAGCAGACTCTCCATGGAGGACTGGTGTGTTTAGAGAAGGGAGAGCCACGGACGCCGGTGTGGATCTGGGGGCTGGGGTTGGCCTCAAGGGGCCAGGGTGGAGTGACAGAGAGTAGGCGACCCAGTGCACATCTGGGGAGCCAGAGTTTGAGACCCATTAGAATAGGATGCCGTTTGGGAGAGCCAGCACGGGGTTGCAGCGGAGGGTTTGGGAAGTGGGGAGAGAGTTAGCAGAGATGCGGGGAGGATCGTGGTGGTGGGGGGTCCCGGATGAAAGCCACAAGTGACAGGGTGCAGCGGCTTGGACGGCGTCCTTCCCGGCGGTGCCCACCTCTCTCCCTCTGCTGGGCCCGCACTCGGAGCGCCCCTGCCAGGATCCCGGCGCAGAGCGCGGCCACCAGGAGCGGCAGCCTCATCCTGGGTGGGGGAGTCGGTCAGCCAGGCCCCCGGCTCTGTCCCTCGGCCCGCGGCTGTGGCAAGTCCGAGCCCAGCGCTCCCCCAACCCTAACCCGGGTCTTGCCTGCCGGTCTGTCTGTCCGCCGGCTCCCGCCGCCAGCCGTTGCTGCGGTCCCGCCGCCACGGCAGAGAAAAAGTCCCTGATCCCGGGGGGCGGAGCTGCGGGCGGGGTCCTAAGCGGCCCGCCCCCCACCCTGCGTCCCAAAGGACGCCGCCCCCACCTCCCCTGCCCGGCAGAGGATCTGAGTCTACTTAAGTGTAAAGCCCCCCACCTCCTGTGGCTTCCGGGACTCCCCGGGAAGGTTCTTGACAAATGCTGAGGGAAACCTCTCCAACTCTGTCTAGGGTCAGAAGTCTTCGCTGCTTTAAGGTCAGAGTGACTAGTGACATGACTGCTGGAGGCTGGAATTCAAATAGGTTCCTGGGGACAGAGGAGACAGCAGGATGGTGGTGGGGGGAGGCTGCAGCTGGAGATGACTCACCCCGCACCCTATGGGGGTGCCCAGACAAGCCTTCAGGCCATGAGTCCCGCCGGCCACTCCTGTGATTCAGCCATCCCTCTGTCTGTTGGATCTCCTGTGCCCCACCCCAAACCCCTTGACAGCCAGAACAGCCCCCAGGGAATGAGGTGCTCTGGGCTCATCCCAGGGAAACCAAGGCACCACTGGTCTGCATCTGAAAAATGCCCACCCCACCCCACCCCCACCTTGGGAGGGGGAAGCCAGGAGGAGAGATTCTGTGTCATGCATATGCATACGTGTCTACCCCAGTACCCCACACCCCCTACCATGCCCTAAACCAGTCCCAGGCAGATGCCATCCAGCTGTGCCTGTAGGGACCGGGATTGTCCATATGTGCAGGGTGGGACCACCCACAGTGACAGCTCAGCTCTCAGGAATCCACCCCTTCCTGCCTACACCCCCACTGGTGGCCCTGTCCTGCTCTAAGTCCCCCTAACTACATGTCCTCATTCTGGCCTGCCAGAGTCTCCTCCTTCACTCTGTTCTTCCCAAAGACCTTCTTCCACCCATTAACCCCACCAGGCCCAGAGGCCACTGTGGGCCCTCCCTCCTTTCCTCACTGCCCTCAGGGGCCACCTGTGGCTGCCACCTTTATAAATACCCTTGCCCCACAGCTCTCCCCTTAACCAGCCTGACTTCCCACCCATCTCCCTCGACTGGCTTCTGTGGCTGTAGACAGTCCCCTTGAACGCATCTCCAGGTCACAAATACTACCCGGAGGAGGTGAATCTTTGTACATGCGTGTCTTATAGGGGAGTGACACCAAGGCAGAGATAGTCCCAAGAACAGCAGGCCCCATTTTTTGTTTGTTTTCCTGCCAGTCCTAGAGAATTCTGAGAAGCCCACAAAGTATGTCTATACTCATCACTGCCACCGGGCCCCTTCTGACTGCCTGACCCCAGCCCTCTCCTGGGAATCAACAGAATGAGTGGGGAGAGATGGGGACAGCACTTCATTTTCCCTGGGCTCTTTCACAGCCTGGGGTCTCTGGTATGGCCAGAGCTGGAGGCAATGAAGACCATCATGCTGTCCGTTTCCCTACTGCCCGTAAGACTGAAGCTACAGAATGACCCCTTTTATTATTGAACCCTCCCCCTCACAGGATACAGTGCTGTGACCTATGGGGCCCAGAACCTTTTTCCAAGGTCATGGTCTCCTCAGCTATGTCCCAGGACCCAAACCCCTTGAAGCTATCCGGTAGGTGAGTGCAGCAGAGAACCAGACACAATCTCCCTACAGTCTCCAAGACCCTTAGCTCCTCTTGTACAGCAGAGGACACATACAGTATGGTCACACACACGGTCTAGCCTTTAGGGAGACTGGACACCCGGCTGAGAAGGTATCAGGACCATGATGTGCCCCTGAAAGGAAGGGCTGCCTGCTGCATGAGGATCTTTCAAACGGCTGAGAGGCTGTTAGGGAGGTTTGAGCACAGGTGGGGATGGGTGTGAAACGAGCTCCCAGGAGGCCCATGAGCAAATGTGACCCTCTAAGACCGCTGGCTCCAACCTCCCGGCAGGCACACACACTAGGGCACAGCTCCTGAGCTCAGCTCCTTCCATCTGGGTAGTGGGGCCCCAGAGTTCTGTCCTTCTTCTCACATCCCCCAGACATTTGCTTCTCTGGCTTCAGTCACTACCTCTGCCAGGTGGCACCACATCTCTAACAGGGGCTTTATTTCAGGATTCAAGCCCCACACATCCCACTGTCCGGACACCTCCAAATTTCTTATCAGAACTGTGACCAAAGCTAGGCAGGTTATCATCTTCCAGGGTACCCCTCCTCTGGGGTACCCCGGCCCCTTTGGGGCTGCTGTCCTGCTTGTCCCCTGAAGCTCGCTCCAGCTCTTCCTACAGCTGTGACCACTGCTCTACCACACTGCAGCTCACTAGTGTGCCACAGAAATCCAGCCTGAGAGTCCTTGTGCTAAGTCTCAGGCTGCCCAAGTCACTTCTCTTCCCAGTAACCTCCAGTGCATCTCCTCCAACATGCCTCCAGAGTAAAGAGCAAATTCCCTGGCTTGGTGTGCAAGACCCATTAGGACCAGATCCCTTCCAGGCGCTTGGGCTCTCTTCTGTGTCCAGCACACCTGGAGCCTTTGAAGACCATGCCTGGGCTTAGAAATCAAGCCCCACATTCCAGGAGCTCAAACTTTAGACCAAGATTAAGCATTTGCTGTTTCCCAGACCGGGTGTGTTGCATCTGTAAGCACCCAGGGTGGGTCTGTCAGAGTTCTCTGCTGTCCAGCAGGTTCTCTTGAGCCAATCGCACAAAGTAGGAGGATGACCTGAATCCTGGATCCAGCTCTGGGCTCTAGAAGGCGCTTGAAAGTTATTTCCTAATTGACAACTGGTGGCAACAAAGAGATGCAGGGGGGAGGGAAAGCACTGGGGCAGGGCAAGAGTGATTCAAGAGTTGTTTTGGCCACTACAGGACTGGGAGGCTGGGTGACTTTTGAAGAGCCCACTTCTCAACAACCCTTGTCCCAGGACCCTGCTCCCAACTGATTGCCAGCAGCACTTCTCATAGGAGAATCCAGCCTCTCATTTCCACTTCCCTCCTGGGCTCCCAGGGAACTTGATTAGAGAAGGGCTGGGGACACAGGAAGAAGGGCCTACCTGCCCACCTGCTTTGTGGGACCAGGGCCTGAAGGTGGTGGGTGGGGGGACTAGATAGCTGAGAGCTCCACCAGGTCCTGGCTGCCTCAGGGAGATGGGAAGGGGATCATCAGGCCAGCAGCTCAGGACTTGCCTGGGACAGATCTAGTCAAGGGAGGGGGGCTCAGGCCCCACTGAGCTCAGGGCTATTCTCGGAGCCTGAGTCAGCGGCAAATCGAGGCAAAGGATTCTTGCCCTGCCTGTCCAGGCAACAGTTAGAAATCAAATAGGAACACTATGCCCCAGGCTATCCTCCTCCCAGAATCCAGAGTAAACCTATGAAGGAGGCTTCCTCAGGGACAGACCTTAGCCCTTCCTGGTCCATCCAGGGAACCAGGGACTGCCAGAAGGCGATTGCACAAGGCCCACATCAAAGCGCTTCCCTCCTGAGCCACCAGAGTTCCCAAGCTGGGACCTCTACCAGGGCAAAAGCATGTGTTCCCACACCCTACTCTTGGGACAGACTAGTCAGGAGCATACCCCATGTGGCTAAGTGGAAACATCTGGCTTCAACTCCTGCAGGCATCAAAGGCTTCCGGCTTCTGTGCTGTGGCCCCCACGCTTGCCCCTGGCTGAGGATACATCAGCATGTGGGAAGATGGAAGGATCTGGGGGATACACAACTGGAGGGAAGTCCCTGCTCCCCCATCCACTGCCCAGTGGACTCCATGGCAATGTGAAGAGAAGAACAACGCAGTTCTCAACACAGGCTTTTATTGGAGGTAAGGTAATCCGCACACAGGTCTGAAGAGCTGAGGTGGTATGTTAGGGGGCGGGAGGTAGACCATGAACCCCGGCCCCGCCCTCTTGCCTGCACAGCCTTCCAGCCTAGAAACGCAGCCAGAACATGCCACTACGGATCCGGTTGTAGTCTGGGAGCTGCTCAATGGGGCCTGTGGGGATAGGGTGGGGCGTCAGGGTGGGGTGCCTGGCCTGCACAGGGACACCTGGCCCTGTGCCGCACCCGATCCAGGGCTGCCCGGAGCAGCACAAGACAGGCTCTGAGTGGAAAAAAGGAAAAGCACATTCCCCCAGGGGTGCTGAGCCTGTCCCTTCATGCTCCCTGGCTCTTGGAGCCCCACCCCATACATGGAGGTGTCCGTTACCTGGCGGGTGTGGGGTATTGATGGAGGCACCTTGGCAGGGAGTCAGGGAGCTGCTGGGACAGGTTTTCTGAGCAAGAACTCCCTGGCAGCCAGGCTATTGGGCAGAGCCTCTCAGGGGCCTCAGTTTGCTGCTGCCAGGATAGGCTAGGGGGTGGGGGAGCAGAGGCAGAAGGGGAGCCTAAGAGGAGACCTGAGAAGGATAAAGAACAGGCCCTCTAGGCCACTCACCAAATCCAGCCACTGCTGGACACTGATCATAGAAGTACTTGGAGCAGACCTCACGTACCACACTGGCATCCACTTCCTGCAGGGTGAGACAGAGCACGCCAACTGACAGGCAGGCTCCTGGGACCACCTCAGCCAGTCAACACTACCCAGCCGACCAAGATCTTCCATATGAACCATGGCACTGCCCCCTTACCCAAAGGGGAAAGGCGGCAGGGCCCTCCTCCTGTAGACCACCACAGGCCCCACCCATCTCCTCAGCCATCAGTGCCTCTGCCCTGCCCTCCACTTATGCCACCCCTGCTGGTGACGCTGCCTAGGACATCAGGGAAGCCTACGGGAGCAATCTGCACCATCAGGCCTCAACTCCCCGCCCTTTGGGGAGCCTGCCAGGTCTAGACTCCAGAACATCTCCCAGGGGCCCTCGTTACCGCAATCCGGCTTTCCCACTCGGCCAGGGGAATGCGGCGGCCATAGGTCAGGAGACTACGTCCGATGTCCTCACACACAGGAGTGGTGCCTGCAAGGTCAGGGGAGGCTTCCAGGTCCACCCGGTCCAGTCCCGGACCACAGGCACACAGTGAAGCTCTGGCTCCAGGCTGA